TTTTTTTTTTTTTTTTTTGGTATAGGGGATCAAACTCGGACCTTGCGCTTGTGAGGCAGGTGGTGGAGCCACTGAGCCAAATCCCTGGCCCCCCAACTAGGCATTCGTGACATGGGAGGGACTCTTTGGAACTCTCAGAATAAATAAACAAGAAGGCTTTTCTGTTCTTCTGATGGGCTTGGCCTAGCCAGGGATACACAGAAAAACCAAACAGCCTGCGTATAGACTTGTGGTCAACGGATCACTGTGCACACAAGGCCTTCCCTCTCTGGATGCTCACAGAGTAAAATACAGAGGTGCTTGCAAATGTAGGCATGGCACAGGACATAATAATTGGATAGCCGATCTTTGTGTAGACACAGATCCATTTGGTGCATTAAAACTAACAATGCTCAACACACCCATTTGTACAACCCTGCGATAGGGCACTTGCCTATTAAGTATGAGGCCCTGAATTTGATCCCCAGCACCACACATACACACACACACACACACACACAAATCACTTGATCGACTCTCCATTTTTATGTGCTGTTGTCACTAGTTATTCCTGTGTTGTTATAGGAAAAAGTCCTAGGGTATTAGGACTTCTAGCTATCTGGGAGGCTAAGGCAGGAGGATCACAAGTTCAACTGCAGCCTAAGCAACACAGGAAGACCCGCTCTGTCTAAATAAAAAAATGTAAAAAGGAGCTAGGGATGTGGCTCAGTGAGCAGGCCCTGGGTTTTATCTCTAGCCAAACAAATGAACAAAACACCTCAAAACCTTAGGGAAGAAATATAAATAATTATATAAAGTATCAGACACTTAGCAGTTGAAAATTACTAGGTCAAATCCTCAGCTCTCTATCCACCACACACACCAAGACAGATCAGATACACACAGATGCCAAAGCAAGTGGTTTTACTTTTGCTGCATTTTGTGTTTAATATTTGAAAGCTCTATTAATGCCTTAAAACCATGGAAATGTTTGAACATACATCATTTATCTAGAGAAAGAAAGACGCTCTAAATGCTTATTGTCTGAAACCCAGAGAAAAACATAAATTCCCTCTTTAGGATTTAAAAAAAATGATAGCAGAATGACTTCCTTTTAGTCTAGGTTAATAACCCGTCTTCCTCGAATTTTAAACCTGGAAAACAATTATAAGTTCCAACTATAAGAAAAATGTAAGCACACACTGAAATTGGAAATGAGAATTTATTTTCTATTACATTTTTCTGGCCAGAAGGAGTCGAAGGAGTTTTCCTTTTCTCTTTCTCACAACGAATAGTGTTGGACTTCTTTATGGAAGCAAAATGTACAACAGAATTGGAGTTGAGAAGACTAATTCTCCACGACTGGTTTGAATCACAGCCCCTGTTAAAACAGCATTTCTCAGGGATCCCTGCGGTCGGCGACGGCACCTTCCAAGCTCAGCGCCCGGTGTCATTTCACGAGCGCCGGGCCCCTTCCCCCTCGCTTCCTCCACGCGACTTTTCCATTTGACTCGTGGCTCAGTTTCCCAAAGGCGAGGTGGGCTGAGCTGCCCCGCGGTGGTGCATTCACCGAGCTACATCCACAGCCCCAGGTGGCACCGGCCTCCGCCCCCAGCAGAACCCATCTCATTCCCCAGGGGAGAAGCAGAGAGGGCCCAGGACACAGCACATGGAGCACACTGTGTAGAAGAGAACTGCCTCTCTTGCTGTTAGGATAGGCAAGGTCCTTTTTCTTACATTCATGCGTACTTTGGTAATGTAAATTTCTCCAGTTCATTTAAAACGAGAGGGAAAGAGTGCCCAGGGGATAAAAATGAATACGAAGCGAACAAATGACCTCCTGACAACACTTTCTTGGGGAGGCCTGGAGGCCTGCAGCTATTTCTCATCCCTTCTGATGGGCTTCAGGGTGTCTGAATGACACACTCCTGACTCGGTGCTGAAACATTTGCGGAAACTGGGAGTGTACAAAGGGAAACCAAACTTTTAAAATCCAAGTGACACAACAGCTTCTGCCCGCACACACCCTGCCGGTGAGCACCCAGGTGGCCTCTGGAGGGCAGAGGTGGAGGGAGAGGCTGCTGTGGGTGGCTACGGGAGGCAGCCTTGCAGAAGTCCTGTGGGGCCTAACAACCTTGTGCTCTGATGATTTGTTTTCCCGGATCTCTGGACCATGGCAACAGGAAAGGCTAGAAACAACATGTGCTTTGTTTTTGAGGATTCTTGCGCGGGACAGTAGAAAAATAGGTATTTTCCTTGGGGGCTTTTCGTGGCCAAAAGGACAAGGCTGGAGTTTCTGCAGCTCTGTCTTCTCAGTCCTTAAGGGAGTGGTAGGCTTTGGCAGTCCGACTGTTGACGAAATCTGTCTTCTTAAACTGAGCCTTGGGAGTGAGCAGACATGAAGGTGAAGGGTGAGAAATTCTCACATGGGACAATGCAGTGTGGCGATCTCTCCCGTGATCCACGCCGGCCTCTCCACCCTCACCTTAGCCTCTTACCTTCTTGTAGGCTGTGTGGAGCTCCGGGTGTGCCCACAGGGAGTACAGGAGCACAGATGCCGCCTTGGTGGCTTTGCTGGGGGCATAGCTGGAAAGAGAGGACACTCTGAGACCCGTGACAGTGTGGGGCCCTGACGCCCTGCTGGCATTCCGGGAGGCCTCCTGACTGCCACCGCAGGGGCAGCTGTGATTAGATGGCCGGGCTTGAGGCAGGGCCACTCTTTATTCCCTTCAGAGCTGGGGATCGAACCCAGGGCCTCACACATCAGACAAGTGCTCTACCACTGAGCCACACTTCCAGTCCTGTTTCTTTCTTTTTAATCTTTTAAACCACTAGGGCAGAGCTAATAAGTAATTTATAAAGAAAACCGCCATGGTTTTACGGAATATATCCGTAGATGTGGTTTTAATTTTCTAATGTATTTACAGAATACAATTTATAAGGCAGGACAGCACCACTGAAAAATTTACATGCTTCTTAGTGACTCTAAAAAAATTATTTTCACATTAAAAAAAGAAACTCCTGGGCCAGGGATTTAGCTCAGTGGCATTGCATCTATCTCGCAAGTCCAAGGTTGTAAATTCAATCCCTGGTACCAAAAGGAAAAAAAGAAACTCTTGTGGCAGCAGTTGTTCATATAATTTTTTTTTTGGTACCAGGGATCGAACTCGGGTCCTTGAGCTTGCAAGGCAGGTGGCGGAACCACTGAGCTAAACCTCCGGCCCTGTTCATATAATTTTAAATCATTATATTTTAATATATGAAGACGAAACTCACAGCTCTTATAAACCCAAGTCACCACTAAATGTGACACTGACGTGGTCTGTTTTTAAATGTGTCCCCAGCTTCTCAATCCTTGCTAAAGACCAGTGCCTTCTTTGATCTTTCTCTTCCAACATCCGACCAGCCCTGTGGCTGACTTTTTTTTTTTTTAAACAAAGAAACAAAGGTTGTGTGTCTGTGTGTGTATCTGTTTTCCATTAACATAAGAGTTTGTAAACATGCAGCAGTGAGCAGAGAAATCTACACTCCTGGGGCGGGGAGGGTCAGGCTGGGTTCATTCACAGCTCAGTGTCTTTTTCTCTCATACCAGCCCTGCTGGGAGAGCAGGTCACCTTGTAGTCCAGGCTGGTCTTGAACCCATGGTGATCCACCTACTTTAGCCTCACAAGTACTGGGATTACGGTGTGTGCTACTACGCCTGGCAAGTGTTCTATAAGAAGTTCTTTAACTGTGAGGATTAGATAGTCATGAAGCTTGTTTATACATCAGTTGGTTGGCATTGGGAACTTGTTTATCCAAAGATACAAGGCTGTAAATGATAACTACTTCCCAGGCTAGCCCATAAATAACAGGTTGGATATATGACACTCTGGTAAAGAAAGAGCAACAGGCACCTTTTAATTTTTTTTTTTTCACCTTTCTTTTCCTGGGTCAGCACATGAGGACATTTGGGGTATCACATAAGTGACAGAGTAGCATACCCCTCTATCTTGCTAAGGTATACAAGGTTTCCAAAAGTAATCGCACAACCCCACCCCCACCCCAGGGAACAGTTATTGCACCTGAATATTTAAATAGCTTACAGTGGGCTGCTTAGAGATCACAAGACTACTTTGAAGAGTCACTTCCATTTTGCACAATAGATCATTTTTTTCTGTAAAGACTGAGCAACTGCTTTGGCCAACCTGGGGACCAGTGAGTGTTCCCTACATCCTACTGCAGTTACTGCCTCTGGAGCTTTGCCAGAGAGGGGCTGTGGTGTGCCAGGCCCAGGGCGGGCTAGGGGGCAAGGTGTGTTCCCTGCAGGACACCACGGAGCCCTGACTGCAGCCCCTTGCGCCCAGTGCACCTGTCTATCACAGACGAGGTCCACTTGCTCTGCAACTATTTAGAACTATGCAGTGACAGCTTTCCTTGGGGTTATCTGCAAAGATAACTTGTAGGGCTGAGGATGATCTCAGTGCTAGAATACCTCAGTGCTAGAATACTTGCCCAGCGAGCCGGGGTTCAATTCCCAGCTTCAAGAAAGAAAAAATGACTAGCATTTGTAATAAATCAAATAGTTCTGAAATATATAAAGAATACACATTTCCTCCATGTCCTATCTTCCCATCACTCTAAATAAACTAGCAGTACTGATCTGGGTGCACACAGAAACGGGGTGCTTTAATGCACCCCATGTACTCTCGAAAGGGCAAAAGAGACAACTACAGAACAACGCTACTTTGTTAGGCCCCTTGCCACCAATCTGTGCAGTCCCTGTTTCCCATAAGCTGCTGATGGCATCAAAGGTCTGTGCAAGGCAGGGCCCTTCCCTGCTCACAGGATCCCCCTTGCCTACACTCTGCTTTCTGAAGTACTGGGACTGAACCCAGGGCCTTCACACTGCACTACAGCTCCGACCTCTTTTGTTTTGTTTTTTCTTTTTTAAATTTTGAGGTAGTATCTTGCTAAATTGTTAAATTGCCTGGGTTGGGCTGGAATTTTTGATCCTCCCCCTTCAGCCTCCCAGAGTGCCGGGATTATAAGTATGGATCACCATGCCCGGCTCGACACTACCTTTCTGAAATCACAGCTCTGGAAAACCAGTTCATCGGGTCATTCAAACGCTGGGGGAGAAGCTACAGAGTGGGATTCTGGCCCCATGTTTGCTGCTGGGTTGACCTGGCTCCTCCCTTGGCCACCAGGTCATTCCAGCCTTACAACTGTATTTGTGGCCAAGCTGCCAGGTCCTCAAGGGGGACGTTTCCAGCCGTGACACAGCAGTGACGGCAGGGAGGGGACTGAGGTGGAGCTGCAGAACTTACGCGTCCCCAGAGCTGATGGCCATGACCTTGTGGAGGCCTCCCGTGTTCAGGAGGTCCCGTGCATTCTGGTGGCTGTTCTGGATTATGTTGTTCAGGGTGTAACAGGCCGAGGCCGTCGTCTCAATGAGAAGGTCAGTTGTCGGGACCGTGTCAGGGATTATGGAAACCAAATCCGGTAGTGTTTCTTTGGCTGCAGAGTGACAGCAAAACAACACTTGATTAGGAAGATTTGTCTTCAGCCCAAGATTTCAACACGATTTGGGTAAAGGACATTTCAAAAAAGAGACACAGTTGACTAACAAACATATGGCAAGATGAAACTTTCCCTAATCATCATATTTGAAACATTTTAAAAAGAGGCTGTTCTGTTCTGTGCCCAGAAATTTAAAAATTTCACAAAGCAATTTGACAGAGATGTGAAGAATTTTAAAATTTTCATATTCTTCAACTCAGCAATTCCACTTTTGAGAATATACTTGGAAGATGTAACTTTAAAAAATGAAAAAGTGGGCTGGGGATTTAGCTCAGTGGTTCCACGGCCTGCCTTGGACCTGAGTTTGATCTCCGGTACCAAAAGAAAAAGCTTTTTGTAGAGATCTTTCTGACAGAATTATATGTAAGTGAAAAATTATTTTAAAAAATCTAAATCTCAGGAATAGGATTAAAATATACTTGCAAAGAATGCTATGCATTCTATAGCATATCTGTGAAACCTGTACAAGAAAATATATTAATACTTTGTGTGAAAAAATTATATAAGGAATACATATTACAAAACAAAATATATATAAGAGAACTACACTAAAATGCTAACATAACTGTTTTTAGTGGTGATCAAAAAACATTAAAAAATTATCTATACTTCCCAAAGTTTTAAAAAAGATACATAAATAGGACTATTTAAAAAGAGCAATAGGGCCAGGGATTTAGCTCAGTGATTCTGCCACCCACCTTACAAGTGCAAGGACCAGAGTTCGATCCCTGGTACCAAACATAAATAAATAAATAAAAAGAGCAATAAACTATTTTAAGGATTCTTTTTCACTATGTGTGTAATTCTTGGTTGCAGGTTTGAATTTTTCACAGTAACATGAAATTGTCCCATGGTACATATTTTGGGCAGAGTTGTATTTTCTCCTTCATGATGACTTTTCTTCTGTATATTTTCTTTTTTGCTCTTCCTTGGAACTATGTGCAGCCAAGGAGCATCCTTTGTAGCCTGCGTTGCCCACTCAGCTCTTCCTCAGAGTGCTGTGTTGGTCATGAGTGTGTAACAGGTACTGATTAATTTGACTGTTTCTTCATTTGTGTCCAGGTTGCACCTTGCACCCTTCTTTTCTCCATGACCCTGGGCTCTAATCCAGTCTGCACATGGCTGAATTTCAGGTGGGTTTGTAGGTTCCTTGAATACAGTGATTTCATTTATTTCTGTGTTCCCGGCAGTGATTATTATTCCTGAGGCCCCGAATGGCATCGTCCAAGGACAACCGGAAGCTGGCTGATAGTAGGACACCTGCTCAGAGATCTGACTGCCTTCTCCTCCACTGTGGCTTACACAGAGCGGAATGGAGGTACAAACCCTTCCCTCAGCCTCTGAAGCCAGAGTTCTTCAACTTTAGCCCCGGCTCCACTGCTCCATGGTTCTTGGTCTGGACAAGCTACTCCATTTCTGTCGTACTTCCTCAGGCTGCACTGCAGGGTGTTCACGGTGCCCACCTTCACAAGGGTGTGGGAAGGGAATCAGGGAGTTCACGCATGTGCGCTCTCGAGCTATCATTAGAAGGCCTCTCCTGTCAGTAGGTTAAACTGAAGGATCAAAGACCTGGGCAACAGGAACTTTCCCTTCACTGTGTGGCGGGGACAGTGTGGAGAAAAGGCTGAGAGGATCACCCCACACAGAATTGCCCATTGGTCTGTCTGCAGGGTGCCCTGCTGGGCACTGTGCCCCTCAAAGACAGCTAGGCCTCTCCCTCTCCGCCATGCCTAGCGGGTCCCGTGCTGCAGACCAGGGTTAAGGTGAGCACGTGGTCACGGCTGAGGTGGAGCGCTGATCAGGTTAGAGGCTGATGCTTTCTGTTGTGTTTATTTTTCTTAGAAAAGTACAGCTGTTTCTGTGGTAAAGTGAACACCACAATATAGCACAGAAGGTTGTCTATCCAGTCCAGTGTATCCATAGCTATCTTATCTAAATTCTTTTCTCTCCACATATGGTGTCAGCAAAAAAACATGGTGAATATATATGTTTAAAAAATTTACTACAGTAAAAAACACACTGCTATTAATACCCCTCAGAATATTCAAGATACCCCCTCACTTCAAGTACACTTATCCCATCGTTTTGAAAATGTCTTTTATTGCGATAAGTTTAAAAATTTAAACATTCACTGCACCTTTCAATCTCCCTTTGCACACGTGTGCACACACACATATTAATATCCACCTCTATAAACATATATATAATAGATATATTTCCACACCTGCCTGTACTGTGGGCCTAAGTAAGATCTTAAATATTGGGATATCTGCAAACACTTGTAACAATGGATGGACGGGAGCTGGGACTGTAGACAGGCACCCCACTTCCTAGCATCGGTTTCTCAGCCTGGAGAAACCGTGCACGGTTCCGATCAGTCCCCTTTGGTGCACAGCAGTTAAAGGGCTTGCCAACGTGGGTTGGCAAGTGGCACTGTGGGAGAAAGACCCAGAGTGTCCTCTGTGTGACATCTGTTATTTTGTCACCAAGCCATACCGCCTATCTTCCAGCTTTGGAGAAAACATGTTTCCGGTTTGGTTCTGAAAATGTGGGTGAATGCAATCGCCGTGTCCCAGGTCAGCTTGTGGACAGCTCCTCGGCCCGGACCTCTCTCGGAAGAAGCGCACAGTGGGTATCCCAACCTGTGTCCACTTCCTCCAGGCTGCTGAGACTCAGAATCCAGCAAGATCCCACTACTTTGTTCATACACTTAGCATGAAACCAGTGTGAGATTTCAAAGCTGCACTTATCCTGCAGACACTGTAAGGTGAGGTTTGCACAGAACCATCTTACTCAGAGCCACGAGGCCAAGCTTTCCCCACGTGGCTGCTAGGCAGGGTAGTGCAGGGGCGGGGACATACAATGGCTTGGCCCCGCAGACATGTGCTGAACATGGACGGCGCCGTCAGTCACCGCAGCAACACTTTAACGATGGAATCGACCTTTCATTTGAGGGAAGAAGATAATACAGCCTCTACTGAAGCCTAGCACAAAAGCCCACACAAACAATGGGGAGAATGCTTTTATAATTTTGAGAGCACCCCGGCAAGGTGTTTTTGGATTCACAGAGCAGTTTCCAGCTTTCCCTTCCTTCACAACAGGCACAGAGCCATTGTCTGACACTTCCTGTCTACTGTGGTGCGGGCTGCCTTTGAAAACGAGTGGCTGCAATGCAGTTATAGACTGCAGGAGCCCTGGTGCCATGCCTGTGGATGGTCCGGAATCTAATCCATTACAGGAAAGGAAAGGAACACAATGTGTTTTTCCACTTCAGTAGAATTTTGTGACAAACTGAATTTAGGTTCCTAGACGGGTTTGAATTTTTAGTGCATTAGGAAGCACACTTAATTTTAGCATTGTCTTCTGATGAATCCCATTTTGTAGCTTTTTCGGGGGGTACTGAAACCAGGGACTGGACTCTAGACTTTGCACTTACCAGGCAGGCTTGGTGCCACTGAGCTAAATCCCTGGCCCCTTGTTTTATAGTTTAGGCTTGGGTCAACATTTAACAGACACATCTGAGTATATGTGAATTTAAAATGATGTTATCCAACAATGTACCGGAGTAATTATCTTTGTTAGAAAAGGTCTCTCCAAGAAGGCAAGCATGGCTCTTTGTATTTATTCTAAAGCGCAACTAGGCCAAACCTGCTACAGTCAGTAACTCCTTTTTGTCTCTTTCTTGAGTTTACCTGTCTATCCTTTCATTTTCGAGTCAACATACTACCACACTTCTAAAGTAAACAACCACTGCAGTGTTTCTTTAGCGTTCTAGAATAGGGTGCTCATCCCAGCTGTAGAGAGAGCATTCTGACCACAGCTTTGTGGATTAAGGCTGTGTGGAGACAGAACGGCAAGGCCACAGGATGGGAAATGTCGAACACATTGCTTATTTTGTTAAGTGCTGGTATGGCCTAAATGTCTCTCTTGTATCATGGCCTGTGTCTACATGTCTCCCCCAAAGTCTCCTGCAGTCTTAAGTGGGGCTTTTCAGAGATGGCTGAATCTACAGGGTGTGATACTGGGATCAAGCCTGTAATGCTGGGATCGAGGGTGTGTGATTTCTAAATCAGTCCACTGATTGGTTGGACATAATTCTGGGTGTGGATAATGGGAAGGCCCACTCTGTGTGTGAATGGTACCTGCCCTAACGGCAAATATCTTGGACAGAATTCAAGGGACAGAAAGAGGCTGATGTCTTTGGTTGCTGCTTGCTACTCTGCTGGCTTGCTCTCTTCTGTCTTCTGCCCTCCATGAACTGTTTCTTCTCTGCAATGCGCCTCTGCCTTCGAGCCAGCTGACTATGGACTGAAGCATCCACAAATTGTGAGCTGCAATAAACCTTTCCTCCTATAACTTTGGGTGTCAGGTATTTTGTGTCATTAATAAGAAAAGTAACTAAGACAGTAATTAAAACAAACAAAAAAGCTGGGTATTAAAAAAAAAAATCCAAGCTGGGTTTAGTGGCATACATCTGTGTTTCCAGCACTCAGGAGGCTGAGGCAGGAGAATTTCAAGTTTGAAATCAGTCTGGGCAACTTGGCAAGATCCCAGTCTCAAAACAAAAACAAAAACAAAAATAAACATATACATTCCAACATTAAGTCCTGTAGACCCTTGATGTTGGCTGGCACACAAGCCAAGCCAGCCTATCACCTGCTCTTTCCCTGTTTTGCTAGTTCACCCTTGTGAGAAGATGTGACACAGAGTATGTTTCATTGTACCCATGTTTTCATGCTGTGCTCCCTACATATGGACTTGGCCCTGACTCACCAATCTCATTCTGCAGAGAGAGATTCCGGGACAGGTTCCTCAGCAGAGAGACGGCAGTCTTCCTCACGCTGGGGTCCCCGACGTGCAGCATCTTCCGGGCGTGCTGCAGCCCGTTCTCCTTCAACACCACAGTCTGAGCCACGGACGTCGGCATCTGTGTGGGGGACACACACACTAAGTGCCTGTGCACTGGACTTCATGGGGACATTATGCTTTCTGTAGATAACGAGAGGCTGGGGGAGGCATTTTTAAAATTACACCTGTGGAAAAACCTCCTGAAGGCATTTTTTTAACATTCTCATAAGTTTTCAATGTAATTACTTGGTTAAAAAAAAAAACAGTGTATTTAATATTTTGAGTGCAATGTTGGATTTGGTTAACTTATTGTTTTTGCATCTGTGCTTATACATTAAATGGGTCTGCCTTCCCTTTTCTTGTACTGCCCTTATCAATCTTAGAATCAGGGTTATAGTAATGTCCTAAAAGCAATTTTGTCTTTCCTATTGTCTTAGACTGTTTGTAATGCAAGAATAATCCACACTTTGTGGTTTGGTAGAATTTAGCCAAGGAGCTACATCAGCTCCTTGTGTCCGTGAAAACGCAGACTTCCGTTTATGCACTCATTAAGGACAGTCCTCTTTTCTGTTTCTTCTAGTTCAAGTTTCGGCATTTTACATATTTCAATGAACTTACTTATTCTGAAACAAAACTCAAGTTTATTTTGAGATACTGGGCTTTCAAATAAAAGAAACACCGCTGGCTGGAAAATTTGCAACTCTGCTCTGCACTGGAGGCTGCATCTGCCAGTGGCTGGTGCAGGTTAGGTCCACGGGAGTCAAGTATCACCTCGAATTAGGCTGGCTGCTTTCTTTCGGGAGGTCGGATACTGACCAGCCCATTCCCTGCATCAACAGACCCCCCATTCTGGGGCCTTCACTCTTGTCTGTGACTTCGGATTGGATTTCTAGGTGAGGCTACCACACCCAAGATTCCTGACCGTTCTCTGGGTGTTTATCTTCTGTTTTTTCATCCCAACACTGCCTACTCCCTGCCCTGACTGTCGTCCTCGCCTTCCTCCTCTTCTCCACGCTCCTGTCCATTATCAGATTCTCAAAGTATGCTTGGCTGAAAGTTTAATCACAGCCGTTTGTTTTTTCACAAAAGTTGTCTTTCTGTGACTTGCACAACACTCTGTTAGATTACTCGCTATCCTCTGAGAAGCATCCTGCCCTCATAGCACTTGGGAAAGAAGCTGTTAACAACATCTTGTGCTGGGGCACACTGAATAATCTCTTCGCTGGAGATCCTGTCTTGCTCAGAAGCCTTGCTGTCCGGTGGCATCACGGTCCAGGTCAGGCACCCTGCAGCCTTTGCTCTGGAGGCTCTGGAGCTGGCTTGCAGCCTCCTGTACCTCCTCCTATGTAGAAAAGCCAAGTGCCAAGCTCACTGTCCCTAGCCTCCTGGAGTTACTGCCTTTCATCTCTCTGTACTCTTGGTTAGACAGGGCCTGTTCGCCCAGGCACACATTGCCTCTGAAATCACAAAACGTCAGATTCCAAATGCATCTTCCTGGCTCCTTGCTCTCCCCATCTCCCTCCCATCGTGTCCTCTGCAGCCTCATCAAGAGCTCCCATCCCTTCACCCCAGCCTTCCCTCTCCATACACCAAGGCATAGATCCTCTCCTTATTTGCTTATTTTCTTATTTGCACTGGGCACGTGAACATCATATCAAACATTGCCTTTAATATCCTCAGCCAACATGGCATTCTATCTTACTTTTCATCCATCTACCAAAACTGCAATGTTAGGTTCAGCTTAGCTTTTTGCCTTTTCTGCCTTTTTTCTTGGCTATCAAATGCTGCTAATGCAAATATTGTATCTTCAGATTGCTCTGCCTGCAAACGCATGGTCTCTCACCTCCACAAGGAACTCAAATACAGCCAGTCCTCGCTGCTTCTTAAACACCAGTTGGGACTTCTAAGCATTACACCAGAACGGTCCTTCTAAAATTTAATCTCATTATGTTCCATCTTAGGTTTAAATCCTTCAGTGACCCTCTACTGCCTTAAGAATCCAGACGTCTTAGTTTGGCTCACAGCTTTTCATCACTGGGCACCACTTTTCCTCTCCTTTCTTCCCATCTCTCACAGTTCTCCAGGTCACAGTGATCACAGATTGCACTTTCTCCTACTGGGCCACAAACTCCCTGAATGGGGGGTGCTCCTGCTTTCTCTCTGTGCACAATTATGCTCTACAGAAAATCAGAGAGGTGACATCGAGCTGTAATCCTAACTGACATTAAGATAGGACAGGACCAGGGATGTAACTCAGTTGTGCTGCACTGCCTGGCAAATGTAAGGTCCTGAGTTCGATCCCTGGTACAGGGGAAAAGAAAAGAAAGAAAGCAACTTTTCCCTAAGATAGGACAAATGTTGGTTTTATCATTTTATGACTCTATTCAGAATAGAAAACAAACTGCTGTGTGAATATACTTATATTAAAAACAAACAAATATGATTTCTCAAAAAATAAATAGTATTTTTATCCCCTCCAAGAGTATTTTGCTCTGTGGGAATAGATAATTGAAGACTGGCCATGTAACAAACTATTTTAGAGCTTATTTTAGTGATTTTTCTGATTAAGGAAAAGAATATGAGCTTAGTCCAAATGATTATTTATGGAATCCCTAAATATATACCATGGCATAAAATACATTTACTACTTTATACATTCTGACTTTTCTGGGATAAAGTACATGCATCTGGAAGAGAAGCAGCTTTTTATTGTGCAGCTGAATTTCCAGGACACAGTGGCACAGACGTCTTCTCTGACTCCATCGCGGGGTAGACATCTGTTGTTGTTTTGGGCTCCACATCCCCTCCTCCTCCTTTTGGTGAGAACACCCGGATTTTTCCATGAGGGAGCCACCCTTAACTTTGCAGTCCGCGGGGCTCAGTGGCAGCGGCCCTCTCCGACTCACGCCTGTGGCTCTGGCCCGGGGTCCAGACCTGGACGATCACCATCCCAGCCTCCCCCTCACGGGTGCTGGTTAAAGAGACACATATCACCAAGACGCCTTCTCTGGGCTTCAACGGTGCTCCCAGGAAAGCAGCTCTATCCTGGGGATACTGAGTTGGTAAAACGAAAGCCTGAATAAATTCCTGGCTCTTCTGGAATACAGGGAACAGAGCTCAGGACGGAGAGTTGCGGTGATACCAAAGCACTCACGTCCAGGTATGACAGAGGGCAGACGAGCCCTACCCTGGCCGCTCAACTGCCCGGTCCCAGGACACATGACATCCTCCTTCCTTACAGCAGCTCAAGAGCAGCCTGAACCAGCCAAAGGCCAGATTCTGAGACAAGGTGAGCGTCTCAGACAGATCAGGCTGAAGTCCTGACTGACTGAAACGCGCCCAGGCAGTTCCCGGGAATGATCTTGATCCGAAAGAGGAAACTTCTGCTCCTACCTGGTTGCTCCGTCCCTGATCGTGACGTGGGTTCACCTGTAACACCATTATCCTAAAACGTAAAAGGGCAAGCGGGACACTCACCGGGCCACTTCCTGCCGTGAGGTTCTGCAGAGCTCCCAGGGATGCCTCCTGCGTGTAGGTGCGCATGCTCTTGGCGATCAAGGACAAGTACATCCGAATCACAATGGAGTGCCACAGCCACTCCACGCCCTTGGGGTTGCTCTTCTCTTCTGGCATCGGCACGTCCTGGTACTGCTAACGACAAACACGAGGGGATTGGCATTCATGCACCTCAAGTGACGCCAGTGATTCGCTCCCAGCGCAGCAGACCAGAAATAGTATCGAGAAGAGCTAACAATTTGCATGAGAAGCTTTCAGGTGGAAATTTAAAAAGCAAATATATATGATTTCCAATTACTTAATGTTGTAGCCCGTAATTATTATTCTTCCCTAGCAACAACCCACACTCTCCCACTTTACACATTTCACAGTGAGAGCAAGAACGTGTGCTGAGAATTAAGCATGGGTCTTTCTTAAATGGTTTTCTGGGGCCGGGGATTTAGCTCAGTGGTTCCGCCGCCTGCCTCGCCAGCATGAGGACCCGAGTTTGATCCCCGGTACCAAAAAAATAAATACATAAAATGGTTCTCTGGCTGCCTTGAAGCTAAAAGCTAAATGAGTCACCATTGCTCTGAAGACACACAATTCCTCAGCATCGTGTGAAGTTGTCTAGGGTAGCACCAGGGCTCTAATTTCCTAGTTGTTCTCAAAGTTCACAAATAACCAGGACACTAAGAGTAGGGCTGGTTCTATTCTTTCAGTCTTCATGTCAGCATGGAAACAAACGTATATTCCTTCTCATGAAGACTGCTTTAGTGTGTCTGAGGTTTGACAGAACGCCTATAAACAAGCATCAGGCTGCTTTTACTGTGTCTACCCTGCTGCTCTAGTACTGCACTGAGATCATTTCCTAACCCACTGGGCATACGGCATTATGGTTAACAGCTAATGCAAATCTAGAGCCAGATTGCTGGGACTGAACTCTATCCTTTCCATTTATGTATTTGTTAAATTAACCTGGGAAAATTAATTACACTTTCTATGCCTCTATTTCCTCATTGGTAAGTGAAGGTATCAGTAACACACCTTTTCTAGGTTGATATAAAGATTAAAAAGAAACTAAAGCTGGGTGTGGTGGTGCATGCCTATAATCCCAGCACTGGGAGGCTGAGGCAGGAAGATTGCTGTGAGTTAGACACCAGCCTGGGCTACATAGTGAGTTCCAGGCCAGTCTCAACTACATAGTGAGACCCTGTCTCAAAAACAAACAACAACAACAACAACAACAACAACAAACAAACCGACAAAACCCCCACAAAGATAAAAGAAGTTAAAATAGGTTCCTAAAATAGTGCCCAACACATGTACTAAGTAGGCTGAAACATACCCGCCACCCCCAAGACCTACCAATGTACCTCTTTTACTTTCCTGCTTCGATTACCAAAGCAACCAACACTTTTGCTGTTCTCAGTCTGGATATTCCGGTTTTGGATGTAGATACTCTGCGAATATTTCTCTGGGAGCTCTGTCTCCAGCTGGTAGGAGAGGTTGTGAAGGGTGCACACACAGTTCTCGGTGGCCTGAGGAAACAGGACAGGATACTGGTGACACACGTGTGGACGCCCTGTTGCAGGTGTGGTATCGTGAGGCTTAGTAGGCTTCAGCTCTAAGAGGCTTCCTGGCTGCAGCTGGGTCTGCTTGTGTGCGGGATGCCTTGGGGTAAATAAATGGAACTACTGAGTGGCTACAGAGGGGAAGGGCAGATCATTCATGATCATGAGCGGAGGCTGGCTTTCTTACAAACAATGGGGATCCTTTCTAAGCCCATCTTTTCTCCCGGCGAGCTCCCCTCCTTCCTGTCTTCCATCTTTCAGTGCTACAGATGGAACCCAGGTCTCCGTGCACTCTGGGTAAGCACGACTTGGGGTGGGGGTACATCCCCAGCACTCCGGCTTTTTAGAGTATGTCTGGATGATTGTAGCTTTTAGATATATAACTTAGCAGCCAGGTTGAGGGGACCAGTAGGCGGCTACTGCAAGAGGCAGAATGAAAGACACAAAAGCCAGAACAGCAGGGAGTACTATTAGAGAAGGGTGGAGGAGCTAAAAACGCCTTTAGAGATAGAATGTGTGTGGTTTGTTGTCCAGTGGATACAGGATGTGAGGAAGGAGGGGTAGTCCAAGGTTATTCAGATTGTTACTTTCTTCTCTTCCTAATCCCACGATCTTCTCACTCGTTTTTGAGGCAACTTCTCATTAAATTGGCAAGGTGCCCATCTGCCATTTTCCTGTCTCAGCACCCCAGAGTGCTGGGATTACAGACACGAGTGATTTCCATCTCCTTTCAATAAGTGGTGAAGTAAATCATGCAGAGGAAGAGCAAGTTTGGGGATAAAGGAAGAGATAAACGTACTTTTGTTGTGAAAACAGATAGCATCTGGGTGCCTCCTGAACATCTACATTGAGTTGTTCAGCAGGCAGTTGGAGCCTGGCACAGTGACACACACCTATAGTCCCACTACTTGGGAAGCTGAGGCAGGAGGATTACACGTTTGAGGCCAGAGTGGGTAATTTTATTAACCTATCCCAAAATAAAAAAAATAAGAAGGGTTGAGGATACAGCTTGATGGTAGTGTGCCCCTTGTTTCAATCCCTATTGCCTTAAAAACAGAAGCAAAAACAACAGGTAGCTGGAAATAGGAAAACAAGGCTCGACGGATTTTTAGGATTTCTAAGTATGTATGGGAAACCTTAAGCTTAACAAACGAGTCAGGGACCAAATCTAAAGTGAAGGCGATATTTGAAGAATGGTGTAAAGCACCTTACTAAGTCAAAATAGGTAACCGAATAGGTAAGACGTGTACATCCAACTCCCGAGTCACCTTGTCATCCGGCTGGTAGTCTGCAATGGTCCCCCGGACATAGTGGACCAGAGAATCAATGAGCCCATCACATCTGCTCATCACTTTCCTCCCATCAGGGCCAGCCGAGCTCATGTTTCTATCAGGAGAAACAAACAAGCAAGCAAATACCGTAAGTCTTAGGTCGTGGATCTAACGGGACTTGGTCTCAAAGCTTTACTTGCTGCTTCGTCTAGGTGTCTGGGAAGTGGCAGATTTGGGAAAGTGTCACACACTTGTCCTGAGACCAATTAATCATGCATTACCTGATGGACATCAAATCTGAATGCAACCTCCAGATACATCCACACAGCGCGCAATCACAACCGTTAGTCTCTGCGGACTCCAAGTACCATGGTCAGAGCATTATTTATAAAATCTTCGTTTTTTGAGAGGGGAGACATGAGGCAAGGTTTTAAAACGAAAAGATAAACAAACGGCACATTAAGCACTGCGGTCTCCAACTCCCAATTTGCTCCATGTCTTAGTTCTAAATAAAGTTGCTCCAGGCCTCTGTTCCCTCCCTTGTAAAGAGCGGCATGTTAGGCTATATTACTCTGGGGCTTCGAAGGGCTTGGTATTGACAAATATTAACCCAGATGCTCTAAATGCGGTGATCCTATAATTAAAATGGCAGAGCGATGCCAGAGAAAACACAAGTGTTTCCGTGAAAGACCAAAGTCAAAAGCATGACCTATAAATATCTTAGCAAAATAGAAATAGACTAAGTGCAAAGCCACGACACCTTTCTATAAACAGTAACCTCATATACAAGGAGAGGTTGCTTCCTTATAGAGAAACTAAGCTTATCAAACACGGCTAAACAATGCGATGCAGGATTGGGCTGCAGATTCAAATCCTGGTACTCTTCCTGTGGATTAAGTTTTTCTTGTTAGTATTAACCATTAGAAAATGTTTTCCAACCTTAGCACCTCTGTCAACAAGAACAGCAAGAGCATTTTAGAATTTGAGAACAATCCCTATTGCCTTTAAGCCAACTTTAATGGATAAAATATGCCCCTATAGAATATATTGATGGGTTTCTTTTACTGGTAGGTAGAGTATCCAAATATATATTCCAGACTTTTTAAAATAATGTCTCAGTGTCAGTCTGATAAAAGAGAAATAACAATTGAAACCTTTTTAGGTCTTGCTCCCTTTAGTTATTTATTTATTTATTTATTTTGGGGGGCATTTTGTGATCAAATTTATTTTTTTGTTTAAATTTCATTTACTTTGTTTTACTGTAATTTACACGAGAGACTGCCAAGTCAACTAGGTATTTTACATTCACCACACATCCCCTCAAATCTCCACAGTTGTTAGAAAAACATTAAAATCTGTGTGTTGGGCTCTTGTTTCCATGTGTGCCCAAGTTCCTGATGAGACTACAGATGCCAGTGAGAGTTAGGTTCATTTACAGGAGAGGGCTGGACTTTCTAATGTGCACATTAGCAAGATCTTCCTTGCACCCAACACTGCGAAAGGACTGAACTGTAACAAAGCCTACCTTACAACACTGCCCAGAGAGTAAACATTAGTCTTTACCTGAGTACACAGAGGACACAGAAAATGTGGGGCTTGTTGCTGTGGATAACAGCGTGTCACAGTGCAGCTGTGATCCTGAACATCTCCGTCCTATTCGCTGCCGTCACTTCCGTGGGGACACAGGACATGTGGGAAAATGAGGTTGCTCCCTTTATCTTTTTTTTCTTTTTTGGTACTGGGGATCGAACTCGGGTCCTTGTGCTTGTGAGGCAGGTGGCGTCCCTTTATCTTTAAACTAATATAATTGCAGTAAGTGATTTCAAAAACCCCGATGGCATCAAAAAACCGTTGCTTTCAAAGAAACGAAGGTGCTTGGCCTGGGGATTTAGCTCGGTGGTGCCACACCTGCCTGGCAAGTGCAAGGTCCTGAGTTTCCCCCATACCGGAAAAAAAAAAGGAAACAAATGTGCTAGCATTGTATCAAGAACTACAGGGAAGGGACTGTGGTCCTCTCCACAGAAGACCCCATGTGTACCACCCACGTGGGGCAGCTCACGATTCAACTTAACAGTTGAGGGGAAAGGCACATACATTGAAAACCAAGGATATCCTAACAGTCCAATGCTCGTTTAATTGATTCAATTAATTTTTTAATTTTAACAAATCCCTCTGTGACTTTCTCATTTGATTCTTCTAATTCATAATTCTCTTCCATATTTAATTTTTGCTGTAGCTGAAAAATTCATATGTACTGTGCATTACAGAATGATAATGAACAGGCTCATTAACTGAAAGGAAAACCATTTTTACTAACTTTTTCTCAAGAAATAGTTATTTAAACCAGCATTCCTTTTAAGAATCACATGGTCTTTAAGTGAAATAATCGGACACACATGTTTAAATACTGCATCGTATCTCTGGTGTGAGAAAATGAATGAGGAAATAAGGACTGAAATATATAACAGATATTGGGAAATGGAATGAAAGTGTTCAACTGAGAAGGGGAACAAGGGAAGTGGGAAGGGGGAAAGGAAGAAAGTGACAGAAAACCAAGGGAAAACGGAAGCAAAATTAGAAACAAAGCTTTTGTACATAGGGAGGGGAGGGAACTTGAGGGGGGATGGAATAAAATAAAATTTTTTTTTAAAAAAAGAATCATACCTTCTTAAAAAGTCTGACAGAAATTTAAAAAGCATCTTTACTATGCTCCCACTTTTACACGTGAAGGAACTGAGGTCCAAAGACTGTAAGCCACTGTTCCTGGTGACAGAAAATCAGGGGTGAGGCTGGGCTACAAGGGCTCCTCTGTAATCTGTGCCCAGACTGGCCCAGCATAGAGCAGACCTCATCTAACAATCATCTGTCTGCCATTTGGTTAGCAAACTCCCTATGTCCCCAACAACACGCAGTATTATCATAGGTTTCAAATCTTCTCTGACCTCTCCAACCTCTGGCTTGGAGAAATGGCAGTCGTTGAAAGCTGTGTTGACAAATCAAAGGGTCTGTCTAACTCAGCTAAGCCCACTACATACCTTGCAGATGGGTAGCTCGGCCTTGTTTAACTTCAGGGTGTTTATTTTGGGTCAGAATGGTAACTCAATTTGGCAGTACTGCCAGTTTACACGTACTGTTGTCTTGTAGTTTGGTATTATCCAGACTCTGCTGGCCTGAAATGGGACTTATCAGAGGCTTTCGGCAGTTGTTATCTTTGCTGACACGAAGTGCATGAAACCTCACTGGTCCAATATTTGCTCCTGCATATCAAAAATAGCTCCTGCCTTACTCAACTACCCATAAATAACAAACGATAAGGGCAAATTGTTTTATATCACCTTACCCACAAATAGAAGTCATTAGAAGGAAGTAATTTGTTGTTGTAGCACTCTGAAAATGAATGATAATTACCAAAGATGATATATTGATTTTTTTTTTTTTTTTTTTTTTTTTTTGGTACGGGGATCAAACTCAGGTCCTTGTGCGGCGGAACCACTGAGCTAAATCCCCGGACCTGATATATTGATCTTTTAAAGTACAAGGTAATACTTATGTGAGTGAGAATCAGATAATTAACATGACTATACATTAGCAGCACTGATCCCTTAGCAAGTGTCTTGATTCCTGAGAACTATTTATTACTATTTCCTATATGTAATCCATTGGCAGTTTAATGTGGAAAATATTTAGAAACTATAAGTGAATGATAGCCAATAACCATCTCATTGAAAAGTAAAGGGGAACAAACAGCCAAACATAGTTACTCAATAGAAATTGATTGGTCACCAATGGACTATCCTGGGAATGTTCAACTCTGCCTGTGGTTTGAGTTCAGTTAAATTATGGGTTTACTTCCCTTAGCCTAAGTCTAAGTAAACATGTAGGTACCTTTAAGGAAACAAACACTATATGCAAACAGAAATTTTAAAAACAGGCCCTCATCCTGGGAGCGCTGAAGGAGATGACTCATCACATGAAGGCAGAACTCTTGGAGTTCTTCACCTAGGGCCCAAACTGGGGGGACACATCTGGATCTGTAGCCAGGATCTGACATCAGGAACTGTTCTGCTGTGATTGGTAATGGATGCATGGGGAACAGAACTCGAACCTTTAAGATCTCCAAACTGGTCCAGACTTCATGTATTTAGGATGATTCAGGTGTCTTATCTGACAGCAAATCTGTGACTTTTGACTCCCTGGGACCACTTATCTCACACATTCCTGAGTGTCATAATGAAAAAGGGAAAAGACAACAAAACACCCCTGGGCCTTGCGCTGGAATTCAAAGGAAGAATGGTATTTCTCTGTTAAGATTAGTAACAGTGTGACTAAATTCGCATGGTAAACTAAGAGAGGAATGTCAAGCAGCCGCAACTTAGGATGTCTGCTAGACATTAGGGTAGGCAATTTACAAACATCGTGACCTGTAATTTTCACAAAAGACCTCAAATTAGGGTAGGTAAGAGTTTCATTCCGCATTCTGCCTTGGGACTAGCATTTAAAATCAGAACAAGTGCTTCTAACAGGCTCTCTTCCTTGGTCCTTCCATGGGAGGGTGTCTGTGTGTGGCTAAACACAAACTCTCAAATACGCTGAGCTTTCCAGCACTGAAAAGGAGCTTGTTACCACAGAGGATGGCCAAGCCCAGTGTCTAGTGTGTGGTCCAGTGGCCAAAGTGGGCTGATATGAAATGCTTTCAGCCACACAGTCAGCTAGCAGGACACTGACAAGAGGGCTGGTGTGTGAATTTTCAAGACTAGCAAAAAAAAAAAAGGTAATTTAAGAGACAGAAATATCTTTTAAAAGCAGAGCTATTTCTCCTTGATAATGGTGGGTTTCTTCCTAACGCCATTTGTGTGTGCACTGTGTATAAGATGTGGCGTGTACAGACCAGCCTGAAAGTCTAACCAGCACGCCGAGATGGTGAATACTCTCACGGCTTTACAAAGGCCGCAGGCAGTCAGCATCCACTCCAAGACCTCAGCAGACACTGGCCGAGAAGGAAACATCCTTCTTCCTCTTGGTATTTGAGATTTAGGTCTTAGCTTTTTTATCCCAACTGATTCGTATCAAACAGTGGGGCCTTCTTCATGACTAAGCCAGAGCAAGGAGCGGAGGCAGCCTGTGGTTGCACACAACAAAAACGGAGCCTCATCTGAACTGGCAGAACCACAAAAACTCGGCCAAAAGAGGGCCCTCTGTCGTGCTGGCGCCTGCATCAGTCCCTGTAGGTATGAGAACAGCCTTAAAGGCGCAGAGATGTGCCAGCACCTGTCACGCGTCAAAAGCCTAGAAGGTGGCTCAGGGGAGCACCTTCAGCCCTGCTCTCCTGCGCTTTAGGTTCTCCCAAAAGCACGGTGAAGCGCCAGTTCACCCAGGGAGCATGTGGCTCGGAGGCCACATTCATTTCCTCTGTATGACTTGGGACAGACTATCAGGAGTAGGACGCCGAATTCCACTTAAATTCAGTTACTGGAAGCCAACTGTAGTTTTTTGTTTGTAATATGGAACACTTCACAAACCTGCGTGTCATCCTTGAGCAGGGGCTGTGCTGATCGCTTATCGTTCCAGTTTTGGTACATGTGCTGCTGAAGCGAGCACACAACTACAGTTTAAAAAAATACACACAAAGTCAGACGTGGTGGTGCACGCCTGCAATCCCAGCACTCGGGGCGCTGAGGCAGGAGGATCGCTGTGAGTTCGAGACCAGCCTGGGCTACATAGTGAGTTCCAGGTCAGTCTCAACTACGTAGTGAGACCCTGTCTCAAAAAACCAAATACACACACACACACACACACACACACACACACACACGAGCCGCTGCCACTTGACCAAGCATTCTGGGTACCCGAGGGAAAGGTTTGGAAGGCCAAGTGAGGACAGATGAGGACGTGAGGACCTAGAGTGGAGAGGGCATGCTGACATCTCACATCTCCAAGCCTGGCACAGACTGCCAACCTCAGAGCACTGACAGGGCCATCGTTTGCTTTACGTTACCCCACTCAATTTAAAAATAAAGTAATACAACTGGGGGTGGAGCTCAGTGGCACCACACCTGCCTTGCAAGCGCAAGGTCCTGAGTTCTATCCCAGGTACTAAATAAATAAATAAATACATATAATACATTAAAAGAATTTTAGGGGGTGGGTGTAGAACCCAGTGGGAGAGCACATGTTTAGCATTTAAGAAGCCTGGGGTTTCCATCTCCAGCACCAAAAAAGCCCGGTTCTTTTTTTTTTTTTTTTTTTAAGAAGTAGCAATGATGATGAAGATAGTCCTGAGATTTTTAAAAAAGATTTTTAGTGTCAGACAATACAATACATAAAATACCGCATCCAATTTAAGCTGTGTAGGGACATTTTTTTCCTTAAACATTAGGATGCACTCTGACAGACATTACTGGGTATATCTTTTATGCCTAAGACTCAATTTATAAGCTCTGACTAGCAAAAATAGTTATTTTGATATAAGTAAAAATGATTCTTTCTCCTCCATGTTGTCCCTATTCATGTGTTTTAACAATTATCCCAGAACTAGGGTTCAAGACGCAATCAGTATTTACAGATTGATTGATGAGACAAGAGATTTATAGAAGCCTGAGATGGTAGCACAGACTTCTAATCCCATGCTGAGGCAGAAGGATCACCTGAGTTCAAAGCCAACCTGGGTACCTTATCAAAACTGCCACAAAGGCTGGGGATTTAGCTCAGTGGTACTGCTGCCTGCCTCACAAGCATAAGGTCCCAAGTTCAAACCTAAAAAAAAAAAAAAAAAAAAAAAAAAAAAAAAAAAAAAAAAAAACTGGCCACAAAAAAAGGTTGGGGTGGGCCCGGGGATTTAGCTCAGTGGCACCATGCCTGCCTCATAAGCATAAAACCTGAGTTCAATCCCTGGTACAAAAAAAAAAAAGATCGGGGTGTAACTCACTTGTACAGCACTGCCTAGCATGTATGAGGCTTTGAGTTCAATCTCCAAGATTGGGGGGTTGTGGGTGGGGGGGCAGTTAGCAATAAGAAATGTATGTAATTTCTGTAAGGGACAGTTTTTTTGGTATTGGGGATTGAACTTGGGACCTTGTGCTTGTGAGGCAGGCAGCAGATCAGCTAAGCTAAATCCCTGGTCCTGTGAGGGACAGTTTTTAATTTAGGCTGATGTGTAAAGATGTGAACAGGATACTGGAAATTTTAGTCTCCTGAGCCTTGGCTGTAGATGTGCTGCTTGAAAATCCCAATGAGACAGGTACTCTTAAAAACATTTGTTTCAAGAAAACCCAATGAGGTGACCAAGTGAGCATGGCTATATTGGTTTTCATGATGAATCTGTTTGCTTTAACAACTTCAGAACTGTAGAGAGATTTCAAAATAATAACCAGAATCCCCTAACATTAGTTTATGAAACAAGGATTTTTAAAGTCAAGATCTTATTTACCCATTTAAATAGAGCCAACACCTTTTAAAATTACTTAGAGAAGGGCCGGGGATTTAGTTCAGTGGCTCTGCGCCTGAACACAAGGTTCTGAGTTCTATCCCTGGTACAAAAAAAAAAAAAAAAGAAATTACTTGGAGAAATTTACAAATAATTTAATTCATTAAACCGCACACTCCTTTGCATATCTGAAACAACCAACATAAGACATAGTTTTGAGGTGCAAAGCTGCATCCATGGCCTTTTCCCAGGCCTGTGTACATACACAGGAAGGTACATGGGAGGTGTGTTTGCAATGTGCCCCCAGTGAGTGTCGTTTCATCCTCCCATCCTGAACAAAATGACAAATTCTTGGATGACGTTTATAAGGCGGGTGATAAGTTTAAGTCAGCGATTTTGTGAGCCCTTCTCATGTGTAAATGGTTAACCACCTGTAGTAACTCAGCAGGTGGCTTTTCTGGGCTTTATCAATTCATACTTTTAACCTGACTTCTGAAAAACAACAATGAGCTGAAGACGGAGAGGGACCTTTAAACCCCTCCTCACCTTCGCACAGCTCCTTAGGTGGGACTTTCGCCAGAAACATTTTCCAGACTCCCAACTCCCAAGCGGTGTTAGGCAGCCCCAAACCCATTCATTCTTCTTTTCCCCTTCTAATCCAATGCATTTTCACTGTCAATTCAGGTGCCTAATACCCTGAATTACTCAACCCTGAATCACTCTGGGCAAAGACAGATCCCATGCCTCTTTGAAATTTCAGAAATCTAAACAGTGTTTTAGATACAGCAGGCATTTAATAAGTACTCGAAGAGTAATAATGACAGGGTTGGAAAAGAGGAAGAACACAGGCCGAGCAGTGGCAAAGGCCCATAAAAGCTGGACTGGTTGCCATTCTCAAATTTCTGATAACTGGTTTTATAATTGTGGAAGAGCCACTGCTACTTAATTTCCTCAACTGAAGAATGTGGCTGTTAATGGAGGCTGCCTAGACACGTTTGGGTTTGGCCTGAAGTGTTTCTCAAAACTTCAGGCTCCCTGCTCTCGGGTAAAGGTTTTCCACTCTCTAGTTGGAAGGAGCCTCACCATTCCCCGTTTTACGCCTGCCCACTCAGTGTCTGCCGAAGGCATTTTAGTTTCTTACCTCTGAATTGCTTCTAACTTTTGTCCTTTAAAAGAAAGACTGGTAGAGCAGAAGGGAAGAAAGGACAGAGAGAGAGGGGAGGAAGGTAATGACTGTGGCTTCGATTCCAGATTTACCCCTAATGATAACCATGGGATTTAATTATGCTACATCCAAAGGTTTCCCATTAGTGAGATGGAAGGTACAGCTTTACCAGCCAGGCTGACTCAGCTCTCACGATACTGCTGCTATGAACCACAGCAGAAAGTCACAGCAAATAGGAAAGTAGGACCTTCTACAAGTGTGCAGCAGCAGCTACTCCATTTTTTTTTTTTTGTACCAGGGATCAAACTCTGGACCTTGGGCTTGTTAGGCAGGTGGCAGAACCACTGAGCTAAATCCCCAGCCCCTACTACTTTCTTTGTAATCTGTCTATGATTGTTACATAAATCTTTTGAAATCTGAGTTATCTGCAAGAGTATACTAAGTGTAGTCAACTAGTAAGTATTTTTGGACTAAGTTACACTTACAACTCCAAATAAATTAAAATAGTTTTGAAAAATAACAGGGATAATTTATCAGGATTTTTCCAAAGAAAGATGGGGGGGTGGAGAAAGAAAAAGCTGAGGACTCTTAAATACATTCCAAGAAAACATAGGAATTATTTTTTTTGAGAGGTTGATGGAAAAAGATACCTGCATTAATTATTTGCATTTTGATGTTAATCGACTAGTGGAAGTTCAAGGCCATTGATACGCAAGTAAACATTTAATTTCCAGATTTCTGGGTTAGGGCACGGGGAGATCTGATTTCTACTTTTGCCAATTTCTTAGTGAAAGTACTCCCATGATGGCTGGTTTCCAGCTACCGACACGATCTCGCTGGAATTACTGAAGAAAGGCCAACGATGGTTCACTTTTGGGCTCCAGCACATTTTCTCCTCACCTAACTTGGATTTTACTTTCACCATTTAGAGTAACACACAGGGAGAAGGCAGAAGGTGCGTGAGAGCACAGTCCCCGCCATTATCAAATCTGGGTCACCTTGCAGCGAACAAGTTCAGTCCTGAAGAGAGTAACTCCAAAGGGACCTAAGAAAGTCCCAGCGCCATGGAAAGGCCACTGCAGGCAGATGAGAGCCTGTGCACAGGTGACCCAGCACACAACTGACACGGAACCCAATGGTCTTAGTCTTTTCAAAGGACACCATCTCTCATCTCAGCAACTCTAGCGGGCAGGACTGCGGCCACAACTGCGGCCACTGCCGCGATCCATTGGCAAACACTGCACCTGAGGAACACAATCCTGTACAGCAGAACTGTGTGCAGACTGGAAATCACCCAGCGCTGAGCCTCCTCAAGGGAGTGAGTCGCTGGTATAAAAGATTGAAGGGGTTCACTGCAGTAATCGGAACCATACAGAGTCCAAACCACTATCGGGTTACCAGTCAGGCCCACTGTTGGCGCTGAATCTGCAGGATAGGGTGGTGTTAGCACAGGTGCACTGGCAGCATTTAAGATAGATATTAACGTGTGTGTTCTTCTCTGGGGGAGGGCGGGTGTCCGGGGATTGATGGGGCCTTCGCACTGAGCTGTATTACAAGCCCCTTCTTAAAATGGCTTTTGAGACAGAGTCTTGCTAAATCTCTCAGGCTGGGATTGAATCCTTCATTCAGTTTCTCGAATTACTGAGATTAATTGCATGTACCCCCATGCCTGGCTTTTCTCATTTTTTAAAAATGCAATTCTGATTAGAACTAATTAAAATTTGTGGGGCTGAGGATTTAGTTCCGTGGTGCCGCCGCTTGCCTCGCAAGTGCAAGGTCCTGAGTTCCATCCTCAGTACTCCCCCCAAAAAAGAACTGATTAAAATTTGTCTTACAACCTTTTTATAGCAAACTGTAAAATAAGCAACCATTCAATAGATACCTCTACACCACTTGATGAGCGCTCCCTTAGTCAAAGGCTTTTCTTACTTTTGAACATCCTGAGCAGTATTTAGGTGGCCACCACACCCACTGTGACTGCTGGCTCCTCTCTCGGAGAGGTGTGCCCCTCCAGCCCTCGGCCTGTACATCTTCTGTTATACGAGTGTGATATGGCACAGGGATCCACTCGCATGGCCACAAAGATATGGAGACGGAGACGCACCGTTGTGAGAACTCAGTCTCGCTGTACGTTGGCCTCTCTGACCCTAAAATACTGGGAGACAAAGGAACTGAGGAGCTGCTGGAAGGGCTTAGGATCTCAAGCCAGATTTTCTTGATTTGAATTCCAGATCTGTCTACCCCTATCAGCTATATGATGTTGGGAAAAAATCACTTAGCCCCTCTGGGCCTAACTTTCCTCACCTATAACACAGGGAGTAATATTCTAGAAGGCAGCTGTTGAGGATAAACTGAAAAAAAAATCTCATAAAGAATTTAGGACATGGCCGGGGATTTAGCTCAGCGGTTTGGTGGCCTGCCTTGCAAGCGCAAGGACCCGAGTTCAATCCCCGGTACCAAAAAAAAAAAAGAATTTAGGACAGTTTCTAGAACTTGCCACACAATAAACGCCAGCTGTTACTGTTATAAGATAGATATACGGGTGAAATGAGAACAGTATTTCAATCCACAGCACTCTGTTTCTTTGATTTTGGCTATACAGGTATTCAGCTTTTGGATGTCACTCAGATCAGTGGTTTGGTTTGTATTGCGAACACTGTTTAAGATGGTGTCATTCTGACTTATGTGTACCAGGCTATTACATGCTTCAGAAAATGTGTGCCAGGGAGGGTATCGCCAACCCAAACTACCTATGTTTTCTACTTCTTGTTCATGAGTAGAGACTACAGGATGAGATTTGTAACTACTGCCTTTGCCTTTAGAGTTTCACCTTCTCAATACAGCTCTCCTGTTAGTACTGTAATTTTTCTTCTTCACACCAAACATTTTATTTCTGTCCTCCACACTAGCTAATTTTGCTTACAGAAGGACATAATTAATTCTTTAACACAACCCGTCAGAGATCCTACAACCTGGATCTATGCAACCTTAGTCTATATTTCCAACTTCCATTTGATTCCTTTCTAGTTTAAACTCTGCACTAATACCAGATTTGATGATTCACCTATTCACCATGTGTTTATTCGCTCACTCATTCAATTCCAATAACTTATGCTCCCATACTACTGTACATAGCAGAAGCTCTGCAATAAGTTAGAGATTGAAGAATTAAAAACAAATGCTTAGGCCCGGCGTGATGGCTCATGCATATAATCCCAGCACTCGGGAGGCTGAGGCAGAAGGATTGCTGTGAGTTTGAGACAAGCCTGGGCCACATAGTGAGTTCCAGGTCAGTTTCAAATACATAGTGAGACCCTGTATCAAAAAACCAAAAACCAACCAAACAAACAAAAAATGCTTAGGCTTAGCTTTTAAGAACTTCACAATCTAGTCCAAAAGGTATCTAAATGACTGGTAAGACAGTAAAGTGATAAAAAAACAAAAAACAACAAAAAAAACAGTGTCATTTATAAATTCTTCCTTGAATCCTTGGGAACCAAGCAATGGCTTTTGCTGGAGAGGCTGGAAAATGTTTCATGGAAAAGGTGGAACTCTGTCTTTGGTGTTAAATCATTTGGAGATGAAGTGCCCCATAGACAGACAACAGAAAATGCTTACCAGGAAAAGAAAATAACTCTGAATGTGCCCACGACATCCAAGAAAAAGCAAGCACCTGGGTGGTCTCTGAAGTACATTTGTTGGGGAAAGATGGTCAAAATGTTGTGGGAAAATTGAAGAAGGCTGTGCATGCTATAAAAGACTACAGCACTTCATCCAGTTTAGGCACGGCCAACCCAGACATCGGTGGCTCAGACGATGTGCACCCTTCTGGAGCAAGGTAAGGGACAAACTTTAGGTGTGACTGCAGCTGTCATCTGAAGAAAGTGGTGCACTTTCTCTGCTGTGTCTGAAGCAAGCGCTGCCTGTGATTAAATCACATGCTCAGCAGAGAAGGCTTGTTTGACTTTGTGGATAATGAGCCCAGTGTGCAAAACAGAAGAGCAAGAAGAAATGAGATACACATCAAAAAGGAGCCAGATTCAGAGAGGCCAAGTTTCTGGCCATGGCTCCTGATCCATACCCTTTGCTTCCACGAGTGATCTTCAACATCCCAGCCACATGAGCCACTTGCCTTCAGAGAGCTGAGTTCAGCTGCTGCTATTCCTACCAGAAAGACCTTCGACTGACACATTCGCTTGTTAAAACTTTGTTTTGTGGCCAGGAAACAGCTGCCACCGCATAGAAACTTTGAGACCTGAAATGGTTTTTAAGTGGTGGGTGGTAGTTCAATCGCGCACTATTTAAGCCATTCGGGCTGGCCCAGAAGGTGGGAGGCAGGGGCTCATTTAGATAATTCTTATGCCTTTCAAGAATGTGATCCAGGCTCTTATAATTAGGTCCTCGGATTTTATAAAAGTAGTCTGTAGCTTTCTAGGTTCTCAGTGATGTAGTATGGGGAGTATTTTGTTCATGCATACTTTAGCCATTAAATTGGACACATCTGTGCTTCTCTAATACGAAATTTGTTTTTGTTTTTTTGTTTTTTTTTTTTTACTGTGCTTGGAGAGAAAGGATATTTTAATATAATTCTGCCTAAGCCAAACAGCCCATTCTAAATGTTAATTTTTAAATGTCAAACTTTGGTGAGCCATCTATTCGGGAAGTGAGATTACAGTGTGCTTAATTTTCAGTGGTGGCTAAAAACAGAAAATTCTGGGAGTTGTTACTATTAATGCTTCATTAAGAGAAACGAATAGGGACTTTCTATTTTTGATCAGTTGAACGATACCAAAGTCACGTATGGGAAATTTTTCTTGAAAGTTGTTCATGTATTATTTTGATCCATTTTCTTGTGGCATTTAGTGCAATAAAACTTTGGAATTAAAAGAAAAAAAAAAGCATGCGATGCTCTGGCCAGAGGATTTCTGGCTCTAGCTAGAGTCTAGCCGAGCTTGGCTGCCTTGGTGCTTCCCCAGGCTTCTGCCCAGTCAGTTGCTGAATGTCCCCTGGTCCGGTCCCTGCAGTGCTTCACTGGTATGTCCGACACAGGGGCTCTCGAATGACAACAAGCCCTCAGACTTCTGCCTTGGCCAGGATTCCCTGGGGTCTTGTTCAATAAAACTGTATCTAGTTTTAGGGTACTCCACACTTTGGGCACCACAGTGCTGAACGTTTCACTGTAGCTGGACTCTAGTTCAATTGCTCATCTGCATTACTGGCTAGATTGAAAAGCTTCTTAAGGATTTTCTTATTTGTCTTTGTACACCCTCCAGTCGCTACCACAATAATGCCTTATACACGTGTGACTATGTGATTAACTGGAGATCAAACATCTCATCATAATAAGCTCCCTCCATTACTACTTATTCCAACAGAGTCTCCCCCAAAATACACTGTATAAGTAGAGAAGGGACTGGAAGGCAGGATACACCCTGACTTCTCTTGGGGCTGCCTAACTCTTAACCTTCACTGCCCATCTGAGCAGGCAGGGGTGACGCTGGGTGGCATTACCTGAGGCATCCAGTGACATTGTAGAATATATCAAAGTCGAGCAAACCATTGGCTTTGGGGTAGTCTCCTTCCGGCCACCCTGAGAACGGGATGACGATGTTCTCCGTCAGGGTGAGCAAGGCCTCCGTTATCATGAGATTCTTCAGTTTGTCGCTGGAAGACAAATTCCACAGCAAACCTGCAAGAGCAAAGAGTTACCATGGGAAAAGCACCAAGGGCGGCTGAAGAGTCCAGGTACAGTCAGGAGCTCTGGGCCTGTGACTAGTTATGAAAAACGGGGACAAAGTGGGAAGGTGGAAAGGAGCCCCTTCCTCAACTAAAAGATCCTGTTTAAAGCTCATTAGATACTAATGGAAGCTGAGCCCGAAGAACAACTAAATGTATACATAGTCTAGGATATAAAATGAGGTGGCTTTAAATCAATTGGGGGTGTGTATGGAAGGTTTTATTGCTATTTCTCTGATGTGACCCTGACATCACTGGGAAAAGCAAGTCGGTGATTGCCAACAGGCCCCATTGTAACCAAGACACCAACATTTTAAGAGCTCTCCTTTTCTCCCCAGACACATGGGAGACTTTCTTCCCTGCCTCTTTCTATTCACTACCTATAACTTTCACCTGATGGTCTGCCTCCCATTCATAGCAGTAAGAGCCCACAGAGAGCCTTTCTCTGTGGTCACAATAGGCCAATTAACATCCCCAATAATGTTCACTGGCATGGCCCCAAGGAGAGAGCTTATGTCCAGGAACTCGTATTTCTCTCTAGATGGGCAGCGGAGGACAGCTATCTTATCTATCTGCTGGACTTGACTTACTGTCTAAGCATTGGTCTAGGACTTGAGTCACATTTACTCACGTAACCTGCCCTTCCCTCTTCACTGTCCACTTTAGAGGGAATGACCAGAAAAGCCAAGCAGGAAGACTTAAGATAATAGTATGATGTTCTTTCTGGAGTACGTGTGAGATAGGGACTATGGTGCCATAGTTACATTTAGGATTTGTTTTTCCTGCAAATTTGGTGCCCAAAAAGCCTTCTGATCCAGTGGAGGGAGATCCATGTGCCTACTGCTTGTTATCTCGGGGGCTTCGGGTGGGTAGAAGTGTGGTGTCCTTCGTAACTCAACTCACTGTCACTTGGGAAAAAGGAAAGCGAGAGGGGATAGAAAGAGCAGGGCTAAGTCTTCCTTTTCTACCGTATTTCCGCACTTCCTAGTGACTAATTCTTACTTCTTCTTAAATAGGCTGCCCGGTCTGTCCCAAAGGAGTGAGAACGCAGGACCAGAGGGAAACCGGCTTTACGAGCGAGGCACACATGGCAGTCTTGGCTGAACTTAGTGGTGATGTCAGCTGCCCTGACTTTAACGACTGAGATAATTATACAGTTAAAGCCCGGTAATTTTTGAACCATACTTGTGTTTGGCCCAGTCAGTGAGAAGACTTTGAGATCACTGTAGTATTTTTTTTTTTTTTTTT